AACAACAAGTTGTGACATTCCTTTCTGGCTAAAAACAAGAACTCTGGAGAGATAGTACAGGGATTAAGGTACTTACCTTGCGTGCAGCCAACCTTGGTTCCATCCTCACTACCACATATGAATTTCCCCCGACCCAAGCACTGAACACACAGCCAGGTAGCTCCAGAGTATCATCAGATGTGGCCCCAAATCCATGTCTCAGAAACACACACACACACACACACACACACACACACTAACTCAAATCTCATCAGAAAGATGGGCCCAAAGAGATAGTACAGCGGGGAAGGCACTTGCCTTGCATGTGGTTGACCTGGGCCCAGCAACTGTATAATCCCTGAGTGCAGAACCTGAGCACTGGCAGGTGTGACCCAAAACTAAAAATAAAAAAAATTGTGACAGCTGGAAAAAAACCTGAGTGCCTGAGAACAGATGACTGGTTAAAGAAACTTTGATACATCTACACAATGGAGTACTATGTAGTTGTTAGAAAAGATGAAGTCATGAAATTTACAGACAAGTGGTACTACATGGAAAGTATCATGTTAAGCGAAATGAGTCAGAAAGAGTGGGATAGACACAGAAAGATTGCATTCATCTGGGGAACATAAAGCAACAAAATAGGAGACTAACACCCAGGAGTGGCTGAGATTAGTACCAGGAATTTTACTTCATGACTTGGAGGTCAGCCACACGTGCTAGGGGAAAAGGAAGCTCAGATAGAGAATGGAGCACCAAATAAAGGGTGTTGGGAGGATCCTCCCAGGGTGGGAGAAGCATGCTGAAAGTAGACTATAGACCACACAGGATTGTCACCCATTGCCTCTTTTGCAAATCACAACACCTAATAAGAGAGAGAGAACAAAAGGGAATGCCCTGCCACAGAGGCAGGTTGGGATAGGGGGGATGGGGGGTGGGAGGGATACTGGGATCCGTGGTGGTGGAAAATGGGCACTGGTGGAGGGATGGGTATTTGATCATTGTATAACTGAAACCCAAGCACAAAAATTTGTAAGTCTACAACTGTACCTCATGATGTCTCACTAATAAAAATTAAAAAAAAGAAAGGAAAACATGCATTAGACATTTGATGGACACTTAACCACCATTACAGAAGCACCAAACTCAACCAAAAATGAATCACTGAGGAAATGAGATAAAATGAGATAAAAGAGAAAAAACAATGTTCTTCAAGAGACTGATAAGACGCAACTATCATAGCAAGAACAGGTGGCTAGCATGGTTTCTGAGATATTAAAAAGAAAACTTGCCTACCAAGTGGATTGAGTAGCAGATTTCCCCAGGATGTAGCACAATTGAGCAAATGTGGCAATGGAAAGAGGCACTATCTATGACCAATCTTAACCACCAGAACCTTCACAGGAATGATGTCTTAGATCCAGTTTTCACAAAGGACACAAATAGCTTTGCACTGGCCTATTCTGAAATGCCTACCCACAGAACAATAACAGTCATACGTAGGACTTACAGATACACAGCAAGGTAGCAACAAAGGTTCGAAACAATGGGAGAACTGATTCACACACTGAGTTATTGGGGGGAGGGTATGGTTTAGAGGGAGCGGCATTGGGAGACTTGGGGAAGAGGTGGATACACTGGTGATGGGTGTGGTGTTGGAGTTCTGTGCATGAGAAACCATCATTAACAGTATTGTAAGCCATAGAATCTGTTAAAAAAATTGGGTGAGGCGTGGAAAAAGCATTGCATGAGTTCCTTTCAGTGCATTTTCGTTTGTTCTTTCTGCAGCTGACACTTCCCTCCACTCATGTCTGTGACCTCATAGAGATTCCTTCACACCAAAGAGAAAAAGTCAAACCTGGTTTCTATGTGGTTTGCATGATTTGACTACAACCAGTCAGAAGTGGATCACAAGCATAGACTGAGTATTTATTCCAACTGGGAGTGAATGAATCTGAATTGTCTAATATTATCACTGGTCACAGATTTTAAGTCAGAGCTGAGTGGGAGCTGAAATGCCAGTTTTTTCTATGTTAATTGTGTAATTAAAACACTTTCAAATTGTAGAGCATATGAGGAGGAAGAATTTCAGGGAAAAAAATGTCCTAAGAATGGCTTCCGGTCTTGAACATTCTCAAATATATAGTTATATGATAGGAGAGAGAATTTTTTAAAAAATTTCTTCAAGTTATAAAATACATTATTTTCCTAGATGGTACCTGAGAATGTCAATTACTGAAGAAGTTAAATACTTTGCTAAGCACTACGCATCAGACTTAATTCTCATGGAAACTCACTGAATAATTTCACTTGGTGGTAGGATTTTAAATGAATGGAGCTATTTTTAAGTTATACAGGAGAAAAGTATTTTGTCTCTAAGTTCCTAAAAAAGTATTACCTAACACTGAATATGATACTATTTAGGAGGGTCTTTTTAGAGGGGGTTCACACCTGATGGTATTCAGGGGACCTGTGGATTTTCCCAGTGTTTAGGAGTGACCCACCCCCTGCAGTGATCAGGAAACCTTATGTGGTGCCAGGAATTTGAACCAAAGTTGCAGTTACCACAGTCACATGCAAGGCAAGTGTCTTGTCTCATGTCCCATCTCTGACTCAATTTTATTTTTGTGGCGGTGGGGGCAGGGGTTGGGGGGCAGGAGTACCTGGGTCTGTGCTCAGGGATCACTCCTGGCAGGCTAGGAGATCCATGTGGGATGCTGGAGACTGAAGCCAGGCCAGCTGCAAGACAAGCTGCAAGACACTGGCTCACGTTTTAGGTCGAATAATGGTAATTTGTCAATCTGTCACTAGGTGGAGGTGCACTCCCGATTTAGAAATGAATGTCTCAGAACCTTCAAGATGAATTTTCTTTTCAGAAATGAATGTCTCAGAACCTTCAGTAGATGTTAATTATTTTTTGACATAGTGAACATATAACAAATGTAAGCAATTGCTCTCAATGTTAATGCTTTTTTTCTTTACAAAAGACATGCACATATGAAGTATTATCTTTTTATATTTCCATTTTTTATTGTAGTTTAAGTTGCCTGGCTACGATAGTGTTTTTACTTATGGGACTTTTCTGTTTTGTTGTTTTTTGGGTCACACCTGGCTGTATTCAGGGCTTGCTCCTGGCTCTGTGCTAGGGATCACTCCTGGTGGGGCTTGAGGATCATACAGGGGCTGGAGATCAAATGGATTGGTTACATGCAAGGCGAGTGCTCTGCGCATTGTACATATCTTTTTGGCCCACATTTATGGTTTACAGTACAAAGTCACTGTACTTTCAACTTTCGCCACCACCAAACTGCTCCACCACTGTTTACCACATCAAGAAATTGGTTTTACTTTGTAAAACAAGTTAAGTAGAATAACATGTCGATCAAAATAAGCCCCACAATGGAATGTTACAAGAATGCCATCCAATTTAAATAATAAAACCTTTAAAGTATGCTTAAATAACTCACAATTGTGCTATTTCCCTTTCTGAGCGCTTATTGTTGCGTAATAAATCCAGGTCTCATTCCAGAGTCCAGACTCCTTAGTGAGGCCACGCCAGCAGTGCTCAGGAGCTCCTGGTGAGATGCCCAGGGGTTGCGCCTCCAAGTGCTCAGAGGACCATAAAGTGCAGGGGATCAAACCTGCCTTCTGGCGTGCAAAACATGAGCGGCAGCCTGAGAGCTTCTCCTTGGCTCCGAGCACCGACTCCTGTTATCCTACCACGCACTATCCTCCAGGACTACCATAGCTGGACATGTGCGTAAAAACACAAATCTAGACATGAATATTTTTATCCTAGTCACACAGAATGGAGACTTTTCTAATAAGGAGACTTGCCTGTGATGGTTTGTCCCGGTGTCTAGAACTGTCCTCTGAGGCCTTCAGTGGAAGCTATATTTTTTTCTTTCCTATCCCCAAAATACAGATTAGGGAAGTTGCATCTAGAATCAAAACTGTTTCCTATTAGTTTGTTTTAAAGGGGCAGGAACTTAATTTATATTTAGCTTACTGTGCTCACTTTAAGATCACATTTGAATATGTACACTAAAAGTTTGTTCTTAAAAAGTATTGGGGAAATATAAATACACATTAGCAAAGATCTTTAGTAATACTCAATCTGGGGAAACCTTTGGATTCCATTCATAGCAAAATGCCATAGTGACATATACCAAAAAATTGCACACAATTCTAGAAAAATCACCATACTCTGGCCCTCTTAAAGCTTTTCTTGGATTCTTAGGTTAGACTCTGACAATCAAATTCAAGGTTGAGTTAGTACAGTGAGTAAGGTGTTTGCCTTGCATGCAGTCAACCCGGGTTTGACATATGGGTCCCTAACCTGTCAGATGCCTCAAGGCCTCCAGGATCCCTGAGTGCAGAGCCAGGAGTAAGCCCTGGGCACAGTCCAGCACAACCCCAAAACAAACAACTCCCCCCCCCAAAAAAAAAACCAAAAAAGATTCAAACTCACGATAACTGTTACCATTTTTATATAAAATGATAAAACTATATTAGTTCAAATACTTATTTTCAAGTTATGTTTCTTTCTCACTGTAGTCAAGGCACAAATTAGTACTCTGCATGCAAGGGTCTACCCTTAGCAGGCTCAGGGAACCATATGGGGTTCCGGGGATGGAACCTGGGTAAATGTGTGAAAGGCAAATGCCCTACCTGCTGTACTACTGCTCTGGCCCCTCTTTAGAGAGCTTGTATGAAATGTTCCCTTTCCTATGGGAATAAAGGTTCTAAGGAGGTACCAGATCTCGAAAACAGCAGGAGCATCTTTATTTAGCAAGTGATTTTAGGAGCACAATAATTAAGTGAAATGATTAGACAAAAATAATTAGAGGAAATTAGACAGAAATTAGATGAAACTAGCTTGTCTTTCATTACAAAGTTAAACACATTCCTGACACGTCTTAACCATGATTTTCACGATGTTTGAGACTCTTCTGTCCCCAAGGCTCAAGAATGGCAGCAGAGAACCCCCCTGACTTGTTGTTCATGTTCACAAGAGTACTGTCCACCGCAGAAATGCTACCGCAAGGCTCCAGGGTGGTACTTCTGAAATTCCTTAATTAATTTCCTTTTTAGTTTCAAAGAGATGCTGGGGTTACTATTAATTTCAAGAGTCAACTGGTGAAGATACTCAACTGTCTTTTCCTTTTGCTTTTCAAATTCCTTGTATGTCAAGCGCTGGCAAAATGTGAAGTCTGAAAATAACAAAAAGCACATTTGAATGAAGTTTAAAAAGTGACTAAACTGTTTTATTTTCCAGACAGGCATTATGCTGAACTTTTTTTTTTTTCAAATGTAGTAGCTAATCATATTTTCATGGCTTCAAAGTAACAAAAGTATTACTTTATTATTTTATTTTATTTGGCTTTTTGGGTTACACCCGGTGATGCTCAGGGTTACTTCTGGCTCTGCACTAAGGAATTACTCCTGGTGGTGCTCCAGGGATCATACGGGATGCCGGGGATTGAACCCGGATTAGCTGTGTGCAAGGCAAAGGCCCTACCCACTGTTCTATTGCTCTGGCCTCACAGAAGAATTACTTTAAGAAAATATATACTATCTTATTTTACAGGCATTATTTTATTTGCTCTCTAAAATAACTCCATGAAGAAAAACTGAGAACTGCTACCCTAGATTCGAGAGGAAAAGTAAGGGACTGAAATGACATGACATTTAAGTGAAATGTGAGACGTAGAAGAGAGGAAAAAAGGTTTTCTTGGTCCTCTTTGAGTCTGAAAACTGACAAAGATGGATTAACAAGAGAAAAGCATATACACTTATTTCACATGCATTTTATGCGCCATATGGGAGTCACGTGTCATAAGGAAACCAAGAGTTAACCCTAGTAACGGGAGGCAGGTTGAGCTAGAGACGCCAGCATCCTGATCTGCTGAACAGATGGCGTCAGAGAAAGGGACACGAGGGAAAAGATGACAAAGGGACACGAGGGAAAAGATGACTAACAGCAGGCCCTAGGGGACAGGAGGAAATGATGTTCAGGAGTACAGGACTAAGGGTTTGTCTGGAACAGGAATCAAGATCTTGGAGTGAAGGTGATAATACGTGCAAAATATGAATAAACGTGTAGGTCCAAAGTAAGGAGTTGAGGAAAGTCAATAATGAATCTACTTTCCTTGCTAAAGTAGACCATATTGTGTGAGAAGTTACAGGAAAATCATCAAATTAACGATCCAAGAAGGGAAGAGACTGAAATAGTTAGGGATGGGGAATAGTTAGAGGAAAGGAAAATGATTGATGAGTAGTGCCAAACACCAAGATAAAGCAGATTACATATTTTTTAAATTATGTTTTTTGTGTGTGGTGGGGACCACACCCAGAGCTACTCAGAGTTTACTCCTTTGTCTGGAATCAGGGATCATTCCTGCTGGGACTGAGTACCATATAGGTTTCCGGGAATCAAATATGGGTCAGCCACGTACAAGGCACATGCCCTGCCTGCTAAACTCTCTCTCTGGCCACCAATCATCTATGTTAGTGAGGCTAACTCAGACTGGCATGGTTTTCCTCAACACACTTGACTGCTAAGTGGGAAGGTTGGCTTTGAGCACTCTTAAACAGCTGGGCTTCTGCTTTGTCCCGTGTTGCAGAAGAAAAGGAGCACAAGAGAATGGAGAGAGATTAGGAAGAAATATGAAGGTAGGGCTGAATCTGGATGGGAAAGAAGAGGCTAGAACCACAGCAAATGACGCACCAGAGTGTGTCCTGGGGCTGCAGTAGGTTGTGACAAGGCTAAAGCAGTACGACAGAGGCAGAGGCCATGTATGTGGGAGAGAGCAGTCCTAGGTTGGGAGACTCGCCCAGACGATTGCTAGCCTTGGGTTCAGGCTTCTGCGTCTGCATCAATAAAGGAAGGATAATAATAGCTCTACACACCTTCATCTTATTACTTAATAAGGAAAAGTGCAAAAAGTTTGGCACATGGAAGATATGCATTGGATTTTTGTTTGTTTTGCACTTGGGACCACACCCAGCTGTGCTCAGGCTTACTCCTGGCTTTGTGTTCAGGGATCACTCCTGGTGGTACTCGAGGAACTCTATGTGGTGCCAGAATCAAACTGGTTTTGCCACATGCAAGGTAAGCACTTAACTCTGGTACTGTCTCTCTGGCCCCTGTGGGCACCCATTGTAGTCAATGACTATGTTACCACTTCCAGGATAACAGACGTTGAATGTAGAGTTGAGAATAGGCGCTTAAGTTTCTAAAGGCAGTATAATGTCAGGATATCATGTTAAGTACGTTTAGGTAAAGGTCATTTTAGTGATGGTAGGTAAAAACTTTGATCTTAAAGGACTGCAGGATTTCAAAAGAGACTTTTGGTGTGGATGGAGGCTAAGGTATCTTCATCTGAAGTTCAGTAGAAAAACCACAATGCCTAAGAGAGGGTAGAGAGGGAAAGGGAAAGGAGAGGGGGAGAGAGAGAGAGATAGGTAAAGGTAAAGGTAAAGGCCCTCCCGTTGATCGTCGATTTGCTTGAGCGGGCCCAGTAACGTCTCCATTGGAGACTTTGTTGTTACTGTGTTTGGCATATCGAATACTCTCGGTAGCTTGCTGGGCTCTCTGAGAGGGGTGGAGGAATCGAACTCGGGTCGGCCATGTTGGCCACTTGTAAGGCGAACGCCCTACCCGCTGTGCTATCGCTCCAGCCCATGAGAGAGAGAAAGAAAGAGAAAAGTGCCTGCTCTAGAGGCAGACTAGGGGTGGAGGGTGGAAGAAAAACTGGGCCATTGGTGGTGGAAAGTGTTCAACTGAAACCCAATCATCATAAAACACTTTGCAACTATGTATCTCATGGTGATTTAATAAGAAAATATATAAAAAATAAAAATATAAAGAAATAAATATATAATATAAAAAATAAAAAAAATAAAAAATATAAAAAGTTCTACAGAGGCATAGATGGCAGTGTACTTTACTGATTCTTTCTGTGAATTCTGAACTTGACTCTGATGGGGTTCCTGACAAGTTACTCCCGCAAAAGAGCTTGGCATACTGAATACCTTAAAGTGAAGAAATTTGAGAAAAATGGCAGGCCTGGGAGGGCCACTGTCCTCATTTCTTGCCTGTAACAGGCCCTAATATCCACATGTGAGAGGTGTCCTTCCATATGACCCAAGAATCCTAGTTTTTGACATCAACCCCAGAGGTACACACTGCTCAGGTCACTCATAGCATCAGGAATAATCCTGAACCACCAGGTTCAGGATTATTCCTATAAGGAATAACCATAAGTATGTTAGGGGCTGGAGAGAGTATAGGGGTTAAGGTGCTTGCCTTGCATGTGGCCTATCCCTGTTTGCTCCCCAGCCATGGCCCCTGAGCATCACTGGATGCAGCCCAGGAGGCCCCCAGAACCAAGGGGGCCTAGGGATCAGCACCAAGGACTCCCACAGAATGGCGTCGTTGGGCCCTTGCACTGAATTGCTACCTTTGGTCTAGAATTACTAAGAGTGGCTCATGGGCTTGTGGAGTACAGTTTAGTGGAACACCAAATTAGCAGGCCATATACATTTTTATATACGTATACATTTTTTATGGTGCTGGGAATCAAACCCATATATGCAAGGCAAATAGTATACCACTGAGCTTTGTCCCTAGCCATCAGAAACCTTTCTTATGTTTGTTTTGGTTTTGGGGTGCCACACTCATGGATACTCAGGGATTATTCCTACTTCTGCATTCAGGAATTATTCCCGGAAGTGCTCAGGGGACTATAATGGATGTTGGGGATTGAACACACTACCAATCAATCTCTCTCTGGCCCCCTCAGAAACCTTTTCTAAAGGAAATAATTTCTCAATTTGTCCATTATCTAACTCTTCAGTAATGTAAGGGAAACTTCAGTTCCCTTTTCTATAGGACAATAATAATGATTGCAAAATAGATTTGTAAAATAAACTATGACTTAAGTCCATGTTTGAGGCCAGAAATATAGGCAGCAGGTAAGGTGATTTCCTGTGGCCTATCCAGGTTTGATCCCATGCACTACTTAAGGTCCCCCAAGTACTATCAGGAGTAATTCCTGAGCACAGAGCCAGGAGTAAGTCCTGAGCACTGTTGGGTAGGGCCCCAAGAAAAAACAAAACAAAACCCATATTAATACTCTGGATAGTATCTGACACTCAGTAGGATTCAGTATTAATACCAACCAACATAGACATTAGTGATACTAGATAGTTAATATTTTAATATAATTGAAGTATATAGTTGTGCTAATTCATCACTATCCTTCATTATTAGTATAAACATTAAATATTAACAAGCACCATTTGTGGTATATACTATTATCAGTCCCACTTTGAAGATGAGGAAGCTGAAGTTAAAGGACTAACCTAAATTTGGTACTAGCACCACAGCTATGGCTACTCTGCTATTTTGCCTCTCTCAAGACACTCAGGAAATCTGTATGATAATAGTTTATGGTTTCCAGAGAGTCTAAATGAAGACATCAGTTCAACTATTACCAAAACTGTATCAAAAAACATGGAGGGGGATCAGGCTCCTCCTCTACAAAACTGTTTCCCTAGAAGAGAGAAGGGAAGGGGAGAGAGAATGAGACTAAGGGAAGAACTCTAGTCAGAACTCTTTGGCTTTTACTGGAGACTGAAGCTAGGGCTTCACACTAGCAACTGCTCTGCACTGAGTTACATCCCCACCCAACACAGGCTGTTATCAGAGCTGAGGAGCAAGGAGCAGGGCACGTGTGGAAGCAGTAGACAGGGAGGTGCAAACTGGGAGTAGCAATGAGAGAAAGTTTCCTTTTTAGGAAAACCAAATGAAGGGCTCAGAAAAAGAACTACAGAAATTTTTCTCTGGAGATATATTTAAAAACACCCAGATGTGGGGGCCGGAGCAATAGCACAGCAGATAGGGCACTTGCCTTGCAACCTCGCCCTAACCCTAACCTAGGTTCAATCCCTGGCATCCCATGTGGTCCCCTGATCACTGCCAGGCATAGTTCCTGAGTGCAGACCCAGGACTAGTTTCTGAGCATCACTGGCTATAGCCTAAAAACAAAAACGAATAACTAGCGCCCCCGCCCCCCCCCCCCCCACCGAAACAAAACAAAAAACCCCAAATGCAGTTGCTTTCATAACACTGAGTCCACGTTCACCTATGGCTCCTTTCCAACTTCCTTTGCTACACAGTCACTAAATGATAAGGCAGGAAAAAATGGTGAGTCAATACCTGATACGGCATCTGGATCTTCTCCCTGTTGAAGTCTCTTAAGTTTCTTGCTAACTAAATCCAATAAAGTCACTGGTGTCTAATAGAAAGAGATATTTAAAAACATTTAAATATTAAAAAATTTGATCTGATTCCCGACCCAGGAATCCAACACAGACCAAAGAAACAAAAACACAAAAGAACAAACACCATTTCCAATGAGGAAACACCATTTTACCAATGAGGGAGAGAAATATTGATGGGGAGAAAGTGGCAGGTAGGGGGCAGAAGGCGTCTTGAAGTGTCAATAGTATGAATACTTTTCCCTGGAGTTTGTAAAATCCTGTTTTTTCTTTCATGTATGTACTAGATCTGAAGGTAGGTTAGCCAGTCATTGGTGTGGTACCTTCCTACAATAATAAAAAGTGCTAAGATGTTCAGAGCATCACTGGTCTAAAAACACATTTTTAATTACATGTTCTATATGTAAATAGTAGCTTTAAAACACAACAGAGCATTTTCTTAAATACTTTGGTAAATAGGTAAATACCCATGGAGCAGTAATCCTTCAGTGAACTTTTATAGTTCAGGTTATACCAAAGGTAATGTCAGATATGTAACATATAATCCCCTGGCTAATACAGTTACAAAGGACACTTTCTGTATCTATCAAAACTGAATCAGAGAGTCCTTTCATCCTGGCCTCAAGCTACCTTTCCATCAGCTTCTGTGTTGTGGGGGGTGGGATCCTCTGAGTGGTGCACAGGGGGACTGAACCAAGGCCAGTGAGATGCAAGGCAAGCACCTTAGCCCCTGTACTACCTCTCTGACCCTACTTTCTTTTGTCCTTTCAATTTCCCATTACAAAGTCATCCCCATTAACTCATTTAGTTGTTCCATGGAATACATATATAATCACTGCCATGTGCTATTTCCAGGCACTGTTCTAGGGGGTGCACATGCAGATCAAGTTTCTGAACTCAAGGAACTTACATTCTCACAGGAGAGAAGGACAATGCTGAAAAATCAACAAATGTATAATGCAATTTCAGGTGGTGGCAAGCACTATTAAGACATAAAGCAGGGTAAGAAGTGAAGACAATAAAAAAAAAACAATTAAATATTTCAGACTTCCTGTGAGGGAAACTTTTCTTTTCTTTTTGGCTTTTTGGGTCACACCAGCGATGTACAAGCCTTACTCCTGGCTCATGCACTCAGGAATTCTTCCTGGCAGTGCTCGGGGGACCATATGGGATGCTGGGAATTGAACTTGGGTCTGGCGCATGCAAGGCAAATGCCCTACCTGCTATGCTATCACTCCAGCCTCATGAGGAAAACATTTTTGTTTAACAGCAGTGCTTAGGGGGTACAGGGAGCCCAGGGATCAAGGCCAGGGTATCACACACATGAGGCCTGAGCTCTCCTACTTGAGCTATCTCTCTGGCCCTGAGAGGGTTACAGTTAAAGCAGAGGTGTGAATAGGAGTGAAGTGGAAAGATCTGGAAAAGTGGATGGTAGGCAGTTCAGGAAATCCCTACTACAGGACAAAGGTTTGTATGTTTAAGAACCCTTTTCATCAATATCCCATCCCAGCCTCCTCCCTGAAATAACTCACCTCCTAATCTTAACCTGACACCAGTGTTCCTTCTCCCAGCTAACTGAAATCTCTAAGCTCACTGACTTCTTCCAGCCCATGTCAAGTTCCTTCTCTACCTTTGTGCTCTCCTACAATTTGAACCTGTTTGGTACAGGGTTGGAAAGGGATTTGGGATTTGACAGTGCTCAAGGGCTAGTCCAGGCTCTGTGCTCAGGAGTGACTCCTGGTGGTGCTCAGGGGATCTGAGTGGTGGGGATTAAACTGAACGCAGCCACATGTAAAACAAGTGCCTTAATCCCTTTACTATCTCTTTGACTCTGAACCTCTGTTTCTTCAGGACTTTGCTAGTGTGAAATGGGAGGAAGTCAGGAAAACTAAAAAATCCCGACTTCTGAGTTGTACGTACATAGGAATGAGACAACTTCATTTACAGGGAGGAGTGGTGGGGGAGAAAGGAGAAAGTGAAGAGCAGAGAAAGTGAAGAGCAGAATCATTCCAATGACCTACAGGGCTCTTCTCCCTCATTTTAGATCACTGTTCTTCCCTTCCTTACATTTGGGCATGTATCACCCCCACCCCACTCACCTCTGCTCTCTACCTAAAACTACACTGCACCTGGGTATGCACCACTGCAGCCCTTTGCTTCTGCTTTCTACCTAAACCCGCACCACCCTCAGCCATTTGTTTGACACCCGTCTCCGAGTTGTTGCTTAACTCCCACTCTCTCAGTGATGCCAATTTCAGTCACTTTTAAAAATAATGTAAGCTCCTACTTACACTCACCTCCTAGCACTAATATGTTTGGCCTCTTAACCCACTAGTTTTCTATTGCATATGCTGCCTACTATCAAATTATATGGCTTGATGATTTGTTGTACATATGTTTTTCTTTAAGTTGTCTATTGTCCTCCCCTTTCATCTAAGCTCTTTGTTTTTTGGTGGTGGTGGTGGTGTGTGTGGGGGGGAGGGGGAAAGTCGGACCACAGTCCAGCTGTGTTCAGCGCCTACTCCTAGCCCTGAGCTTAGAGATCACTCTGAGCACGGTTCAGGGGATCACATGTGGTGCCAGGGATCGAATCTGGGTTGATGGCATACAAGGCAAGCACCTTACCTCTCCAGCTCAATACAAACTCCTTAATAGCTAGGATCTTTGTGTTTTGTTTGATGGTGAATTTCAAGCACCTAGAACAGCATCTGTCATATAATAATGTTCAAGAAATGGGTTGAAGAAATTGATATACTTGCAAATTTTTCACTTGACATCTGCTTTCTTTACTCTCCTTTTTTGGGGGAATGGGTTTCGGGCCACACCTGGTGCTGCTTGGGGGTTACTCCTGACTTGGAGGACACTCATGGTGGTGCTCGGGCAACCGTGTGGGGACTGAATGGGCGTCAGCCAAATACAAGGCAAACATCTCCATCTCTGCTCTATCTCACTGGCCCCTTTTCCTTCTCTTTAGTCAGACTGCGAAGAAAGCATTCCTTTAAACTTCGCAAATTGTGGGAACCCAGTAAATTATTTATTAGGTGAATAAATAAGCCTTTTAGCTTGACACAAATAGCTCAGTAATAAATAAACCCAGGAAAAATGTCAGCGATACCTTGAAGAGCTCAGAGTGAAACTCCAGTAGAAACCAGACTAATTGTTCTGCCTGTACTTTTAATAATGAATTGGTTTGTAAAACTGCTTTGGCGAGAGTTTTCAGCACCACCGTTTTGTTATCATACTGTAAACAGAAAGACAGCATTAGCTTGAAGATGTTTAAAAAGAAAAACTGGCAGAAACCTATAGAACTGTTATTGCAATTTTTTCACCTGTTTCTGTAATTTGTAGGCGTTAGGTTCAGATGCAATGGCCATGAAAGTGAGTAGCCGCCGTAATTCTTCTCTAATATTGGGCGACAACAATCTTAGATAAAGTTGTGTTGCTTCAAGTGCGTCAGTCCTTTTCCCACTTTCTATTACATGGTTACAAAGAAGACAAAATATGACATCAAAAATAAAAAGGAGCATAATACTTAGTCGTTAATTAAAATGCTGTACTGCTATGTGTTGATTCAAGGATCCCTTCTACCCTTAAAGTTGTTATTATTATTATTTTTTAAATTTTTATTAGTGAAACACCATGAGATACAGTTGTAGACTTACAAATTTTTGTGCTTGGGTTTCAGTTATACAATGATCAAGTACCCATCCCTCCACCAGTCCCCATTTTCCACCACCACGGGTCCCAGTATCCCCCCCCCCCCATGCCCCCCATCCCACCCTGTCTCATTGGCAGGGTATTCCCTTTTGTTCTCTCTCTCCTTTTGGGTGTTGTGGTTTGCAAAAGAGGCATTGAGTGGCAATCAAGTTTGGTCTATAGTCTACTTTCAGCATGCTTCTCCCATCCTGGGGGGATCCTCAACATCAGACTGGAATCCATAAGGTTCATTGAAGACAAAGTTGGCAAAACCCTCCATGACATTGAAGCCAATGGTTTCTTCAAAGATGTCATGCCACTGACCAACCAAGTGAAAACAGAGATAGACAAATAGGACTATCTTAAACTAAGAAGCTTCTGCACCTCAAAAGAAACAGTGACCAAAATACAAAGGCAGTCTACAGAATGGGAAAGGATATTCGCCGAATAAAGTTGTTGTTATTAAAGATTTCAAACATGGGAGAATTTTCATTTTATATAGCATAACACATACCTGTATAATTTATGGTTAGTATAAATGAAAAGGGTATGTTTGATTTGAGGTTCTGGGGTTATACCTGGTGGTGCTTGGGGGAAATTCCCAGCCCTGTCCTCAACGATCACTCCTGATGGTGCTCAGGAGACCATATGCGATGCCAACAACCAAAATAGGGTCAACAACATGACCCAGATTTGTTTATTTTGGGGTTGTTTCAAGCTAACTCCTGGCAGGGCATGGAGGAGTTTATGCAGTGCCAAGGGTTGAACCTGGGTTGGCAGTGTGTACAGCAAGTGCCTGAATCCCTTACTAGCTCTCTGGGCCGTGGGCCCTGTTTGTTTTGGTGCCACACCCAGCACGGCTCAGGGCTTACTCTGGGCTTTGCACTCAGGAAACACTCCTGGTGGGGCTCAGGGCACTGTATATGGTGCCAGGGATCAAAACTGGATCAACCCCATGCTAGGCAAGTGCCTTATCTGCTGGACTATGTCTCTGGCCCTGCTCATTGTTTTAAGATATGAATCATATAGCCACTACACATAGCTAAACATATGACAATTTATTTGTTTGCTTTTGGTCCCAGAGTCATTCAATTTTAACTTTGCTAAAAGGCCACTAAATTACATACCAATAATTAATATTTCCAGATTCTTTAGCTCTCTAAGCCTGTATGGTATCGAAATGTTTCTTAGATCATCCCTTGACATCGCATTCTTTAGTTCTAGTGTCAGATATTAGTTCCATTTGATAGTACAATTTGTATGGCAGACTATATTAATGAAGACAAAGACTCTCAAAAAAGCTTTAACTCCAAAGGAAAAAAATATTAACAGGTAACTCTCATAAAACACACACAATTTTCAACTTCAACTACATCATTTAGAATACGTACCATAAAAAATTAAAACTTAAACATTATGTCTTACCTAAAAGTTCAATAATCCCTGACTGAATGTCAAAATACTCCTCAGTCAATAAGCAAGCTCTCTCTTGATTGTAATATTTCACTATAACATCAAAGAGTAATTTCTTCTGTACGTTCAATCTTGTATTTTCGTCTCTGCTTTGTACTAACTGCTGATTAACTGTAACTATCAGCTGATCTGGGAAATATTCCAAACATTCAATTGCTGCATTGAGCCAGTTATCAATCCTGGAAGGAAAATCAGTGATTAAAAGTTCCATTCAACTACCTAAAATACTGTTTGACAAAAACAATAAAATCTAGCATCTACAGAACCAAATCTGATGAGTAAAATACAATAGAATCATTTAAATAAATTTGTGCTTGATAAAGGAGGGGTTGAATAAGAGGGAACAGCGTTTTGTTTTTATTTCCTTCCCAAATATCATCATGCCTTTATAAACCCTTATTTATTAAAATATTTGGTTCCTTCATTATTACTTGTTTCTGTCACTGTCCTCCTGTTGTTCATTGATTTGCTCGAGAAGGACCAGTAATGTCTCCATTTTAAGACTTGTTACTGTGTTTGGCATATTGAATATGTCACGGGTAGCTTGCCAGGCTTCTATTTTTTTTTTTTTTTTTTTTTTTTGCTTTGCCTTTTGGGTCACACCTGGTGATGCTCAGGGGTTATTCCTGGTTCTGCACTCAGAAATCATTCCCGATTTTACTCCATGGCTTGGAGGCCAACCACACATGCTAGGGGAAAGGGGAACTCAGATAGAAAAGGGAACACCAAATAAAGGGTGTTGGGAGGATCCTCCCAGGATGGGAGAAGCATGCTGAAAGTAGACTATAGACCAAACATGATTGTCACCCATTGCCTCTTTTGCAAACCACAACACCCAATAAGAGAGAACAAAAGGGAATGCCTTGCCACAGAGGCAGAGTGGGATGTGGGGGATGGGGGGTGGTAGGGATACTGGGATCCGTGGTGGTGGGAAATGGGCACTGGTGGAGGGATGGGTATTTGATCATTGTATAATTGAAACCCAAACACAAAAATTTGTAAGTCTACAACTATACCTCATGATGTCTCACTAATAAAAATTAAAAAAAAAAATCACTCCTGGCGGTGCTCAGAGGACCATATGGGATGCTGGGAATTGAACCAAGGTCGGCTATATACAAGACAAACGCCCTTCCTGCTTAACTATAGCTCCAGACCTTCTATTTTCATTTTATGCTCAGGCCCTATCTGGTGCTGCTCAGAAGCTATTCCTGGCTTCATGGTTCAGGGATCATTCCTGATATTGCTTGGGGGATCATATGTTGACAGGGATTGAACCTGGGCTTTTGCATGCAAAGCCTGAACTCAGCCTATTAAAGTTTTCTTACTGGCCAATTTCTTTCTTTCTTTTATGGTTTTAGGGCCATTCCTAGCAGTGTTCAAGGGTGACTCCTGGCGCTGTGTTTGGGGATCACTCCTGGCAGTCCTGTGTGGACTGTATGGTGCCAGGGACTGAATATAGGGCTCCCACATATAAAGCCTGCACTCAGCCCACTAAGTTACCTCTCAAGCTTTATTTCTTCCTCTCTCTCTCTCTTAAAATCATTTTTTTTAAAAAAGATTTTGCCCAGAGACATCCACCTGTACCATTTAATTCTATTAATGGTTCCAGTTCCTTTTCCCAGACATACTTCTATTAACTGAAAATAAGATGCCAAATATTTCATTAAGATTCCCCACCACACAGAGCTTCCCCTCCACACACAATTTCCTCTTTCTTACTTTCCCACTCCACTTAAGATTTAAAAAAAATAGTATCCTTTCATGCCTCCCTTCTTCCAAAACATCTTCAGAAAGCCTTTCTCTCCTCGCCACACTGGCCACCGTCCCTATTCAGGTTTTTCTGAGACACATTGGTATTTATTATAATTCGTCATAGTAGTGTGTCCTTTTGGATGTGACTCCCATTTTTTGCAGCTTACAAGTTGACAGTGTACAACTTTTGGGAAATATATTTCCCAAAAGTTGTACACTGTCCACCAGTTGCCCCCCACGAGCGGCTCTCCAGCACGGACACAGCCCCAGAAGCACAAGGACTTAATGCAGAACACAGCAGCTTGGAGCAGAAAAGTGAAAGGACTATGCGTTAATCCAGGCAATCATTTCTGCCCAGAGGGGAAAGGGTGTTGCTCCCTTCCGCCCTCCTCCCTCTGGAAAGAAAGATGGCGGCCACATGGGAGCCTTGTGGACAGCAGGTATGAGCCGGGGGAGTGGGGGCGACTAAAACCTCAGGGGTCGGGGGACGTTCCGGTCCGTCCTTCACGCCCTACCGAGGTCACCAGTCACCCCCTGCGAGCGGCTCTCCAGCACAGCCACGGCCCCAGAAGCACAAGGACTTAATGCAGAACCCAGCAGCTTGGAGCAGAAAAGTGAACGGACTATGCGTTGATCCAGGCCATCAAGTCTGCCGGAGGGGAAAGGGTGTTGCCCCATTCGCCCTCTCCTTTCTGGAAAGAAAGATGGCGGCCACATGGGAGCCTTGTGGACAGCAGGTATGAGCCGGGAGTGTGGGGGCGACTAAAACCTCATGGGAAGGGGGGCGTTTCGCTCCGCCCTTCACGCCCTACCGAGGCCACCAGTTGCCCCCACGAGCGGCTCTCCAGCACGGCCACGACTCCAGAACACAGAAACCAATTTCTTAACTATCTGACTTTCAGTAGAAATACTTCCAGGGTCAATAGGTAAAATAGCAGAAATCCAAAATCAACATTTAATTCTTGAACCCAGCTGTAGAAAGCAAATCACTTCACAATGCTTTTTCAGCATGTCTGATTTGGGGGGGGGTAAACTCTAAATAATAGTGGTGAATCTTTTATTGAAACAATGAATCTAATCAAAGCAGATAGAGTGTTAACTAGAATTCATCTGCCTCACAGGGACGGGGAGGGGTGGGGGGTGGGGTTTTATTGGGGTTCTTCATGGTAAAAAATAAGTATTGGTAAAGGAAAATGTGTTTGATATTTGCATGACTGAGACATAAACCTGATAGCTTTGTAACCTTTCCCACAGTGATTCAATAAATAAATAAATAAATTTAAAAAAAAAGTTGTACACTGTCAACTTGTAATTAGTATGTGTGTGAATAGTAGTACAGAAGAAAGTAATGAGAAGATATTAAGAACACAGATTGGGGCTGGAGCCATAGCATAGTGGGTAGGGCGTTTGCCTTGCACGCAGCCAACATGGCCAACACAGGTTCGATTCCCAGCATCCCATATGGTCCCCCGAGCACCGCCAGGAGCAATTCCCGAGTTCATGAGCCAGGAGTAACCCCTGAGCATCGCCGGGTATGACTCAAAAAGAAAAAAAAAAAAGAACACAGATTAACATTCACTGCTGTGCACTGCTTTCTCTTCATCTGTCTGTATCTTGGGCTTCTAGTTATTACTTTATAATGAGACTACAGTCTTTACATACTTTTGGATGAGGCTATTGAGTTAAATACTTTGAAGTCTTGATCATCTTTAAATATCTTTCCTTCACAGGGGGCTGGAGCAATAGCACAGTGGATAGGGCATTTGCCTTGCACGCGGCCGACCTGGGTTCGATTCCCAGTATCCCATATGTTTCCTGAGCGCCGCCAGGAGTAATTCCTGAGTGAAGAGCCAGGAGTAATTCCTGTGAATCACATCAATCTTTCTTCCCTTTTCATGTTTTGCCCTTGACAAGTAAATATCTAAGATGCGTGATTTGTTACCTTCTGGATTTAAAATGTTTAATTGACAATATACTGCTTTTTCTCTTGCAGGCAACCTCTACTTTCTGCTGGGGAGTTTATACAGATGAACTAGCTTCTGTCTACTTGCTGCGGAGGGTTGTAAAACACACTGGTTCTTTTTCTGATATATTTCTTTACATGCCTCAACTTTAGATCTAGCGAAAACTAACAACTTTGGATCTTTCTAGCCCTATTATGAATTAGAGAAGATCACCAGGTGCAAAAAGGGCTGTGACTGACAGATAAATCTGTGGGTCCACGGGATTCTGATAACTCATGTTAATTAGGGTCATGAGAGAGAAAAGATAGAACTGGAAAATACTCAGGTTGGTGCAGAGAGAGAATGAAACCATTCTGTTTTACAATTCTTTTTTGCAGAGATTGTTTTCAGTGACTCTGTGAGATCAATTAAACATTTCAAATTCACAGTGATAGGTGAATAAACAGATATGGTGTTGCTGATACATTAGATATGTTTTTATATCCTAAAATATTGAGAAAAATTAATCACAGACTTTTTAGTTACAGATTATCTGGGAATGAAAATAAAGACACACCCTGGTCTGGAGTGATAATACAGTAGGTAAGTTCCTTGTCTCGCATGCGCCTGACCCAGGTTCAATCCCTGGCACCGCATATGGTCCCCCTCGGCCCCACCAGGAGTGATCCTTGAGCCCAGGGCCAGGGCTATGCCCTGAGCACTGGTGAGTGTGACCCCAAAATGAAAACCAAAACAAATGAAAACTTACTCATGAAGACATAAGTTTGGAATAACTTCTCTGTCTAGACAGGTGTTTGATATAACAAGGGTTTCCTCTTTACTTAACTGAAGAGTCTGTGTTTTAACTGGAGGGTCCAAAATATTTTCCAAGAATGGGAGGTGAGTCAGTTGAAGAATGCGTAATACTGCTTGTTGTTTCCAAACATCTTCCACAGCTAAGAAAGAAAAATAATGTGACTCTCAGAAAGATAAATAACACACAAATTCAATTAATATCATAAAATCCTCTCATTTCTAAATAATACAAGAGAAAAGCTACTTTAGTGGTAATACAATGGATTACTTAATGCTGGGATCATTTGAATGTTCTAAATCACAATTTTCTTTTCAAAACTGATCTTTAAAACATATTAAGGTTGTGAGTCATACTGATTTGATCTTCTGGTAATGTTGACTCTAAAGTAATATTAACTTGGGACCTGAATGATAGCACAGTGGGTAGGGCATTTGCCTTGCTTGTGACCAACCTGGGTTCGATCTGCAGCATCCCGTATTGTCCCCTGAGCACTGCCAGGAGTAACCCCTGAGCAATGATGCATGTGACCCAAAAAAACAACAACAAAAAGTAGTATTAACTTGCTCTGTGTGCGTGTTTGTGTGTGTGTGTGTGTCTGTGTGTGTGTGGTGACAGGGATAGAACCACATGTTGAGGTGTGTCCTCTACTGTCAAGTGGTATCCCTAGCTTCATCTATTTGAAGTCAACAACAGGGGGCTGGAGCAATAGCACAGCGGGTAGGGCGTTTGCCTTGCACGTGGCTGAACTGGGTTCAATCCCCAGCATCCCATATGGTTCCCCAAATACCGCCAGGAGTAATTCCTGAGTGTAGAGCCAGGAATAACCCCTGAGCATCGCTGGGTGTAACCCAAAAAGCAAATAAATAAATAAATAAATAAATAATAAAGTCAACAACAGATTAATTCCATATGTAAAATGTTTAAAATTACTGGCACACCTGAGAGACTATGAGTACTGCTTATTTGTCATTTTATACAGCACAAAAAAATTGTAGTTTACTGATTTTTGTTTCTGTTTGGTTTTCAGGCTACACCCAGCAATAATCAGGGCTTACTCCTGGCTCTGTGCCCAGGGATCACTCCTGGTGGGCTGGGGGGCGGGGGGGTGAACCATAATGGGGCTCTGTGTTGGCTGCATGCAAGGCAAGTGCTCCAATCTCTGAACTATTTCTCTAGCCCCATATAAGATGCATTTCTATATGGAAACATTGCTCCTATATGGGAAACATTGTTTCTATGTGGAAACATGATTTTTATGAGGAAACTACAAACTAGAATAGAAAAAGAAATCCACAAAATCTTTCTACAATTATTTTATTTTTTGGTTTTGGGCTACACCTGGCATTGCTCACGACTTACTCCCAGCACGACTTGGGGGGACATATATGGTGCTGGGGATCAAGCCTGGGTCTTGTGTGCGTGCAATCAAGTACCTTACCTGCTGAACTACTGCTCTGACTTAATCTTTCTACAATTATATACAAAACACCAAATACATAGAAATCAATTTAACAAAGGATGTGAAAGACTTAGATACTAAAAAGTGTCAATTATTTTTAAAAGAAACAAGACACAAGGAAATGAAAATATATTTTATGTTCATAGACTGGAAGAACTGTTCAACAATCATTGTTCGAATAAAGAACAGCAACAACAACAACACTGTCTTCCCACTGTTCATCGATTTTGCTTGAGTGGGCCCAGTAATGTCTCCATTTTGAGATTTGTTGTTACTGTGTTTGGCATATTGAATACGTCACGGGTAACTTGCCAGGCTATGCTGTGCAGGTGAGATACTCTCGGTAGCTTGCTGGGCTCTCCGAGAGGGGTGGAGGAATCGAACCTGGCTCGGCCGGGCTGGCTGTGCGCAAGGCAAACATCCTACCGCTGTGCTATCGCTCCAGCCCAGTGAAAAACAAATATTACTAAAATTTTGTATTGATATTTTCAATGCTCATGCTCATGGCCATGAGCATTGACTCATTCGAATGCCTAACAACCCGAATCGGACGTTTACATTTGAATAGATGTGGCTCACTGCCTGCAGTTTCTATCTTCGTTGTCTACGCACCAACATCTCATTATGATGAAAGAGAAATCGAGAAGTTCTACATGGAGCTGGAGAAGTTCTATAAAGAAGACACACCTTCTACAAGATCATTGTGGGTGATTTTAATGCCAAGATAGGACCGAGAAGATCAGCTGAAGAACTTCACATCGGGACCCATGGCCTAGAGTGGAACGAACAGGGTGAGAGACTGTCTGAGTTCATCATGTCGACCAAGACCATCCATGGTAACTCACAGTTCCAGAAGGCAGAATCTAAACGTTGGACATGGGAGTCTCCCAGTGGACGATTCCACAACGAAATAGACCACATCATATTCAATCGACGGTTTTGCCTGACCGATGTCGCTGTTGTCACAAAATTCCGAACGGGATCGGACCACCGTCTCCTTCGTGCAAAATTCTACTTCACAGAGCGGGGAGAAAGGGCTGCAAAGTTCAAAAAGAGAACTCCCAGAACGACCACCAACTGGGAATTCTTTGGCACTATTGCGGCAACATGGGAAGATGCCATTGTTGACAACATTGACGAGGAATACGATCGACTCGTTCAGCACCTCCATGAATGTGCGAAGAATGCCAAGAGAGAGATAGCCACAAAAAATCACCTGTCTTCGAAAACTCTTGAGCTAATTCACCAGCGTGGTTTGGCGCATGCCTCAGGCAACAACAAGCTAACATCCGAGCTTGCAAAGCAGTGCAGAGATGCGATCAAGGAAGACCTCAAAGAGAGAAGAGCAGAAGTACTGCTAGATGCGGCAGAAGCTGGGAAAAGTATTCGTTACGCCCACCTGTCCTTCGCCAACTACAAGACCAATATGACTGCCCTCCGACGTCCTGATGGATCCATCATATCCTCCAGAACGGCAATGAAGAAGATTATCCATGACTTCTACTCAAATCTCTTCAATAGCCATGTCCACTTGCCGACATACCAAATTCCATAGGATGGATATGTCGTTCCCAACGTTCTCCCTTCCGAAATCCGACACGCCATTTCGTCGGTAAAGAAACAAACAGCACCAGGCCCAGACAAGGTCAGACCTGAACACCTGAAGAACCTGCCATCAGTACTCATCAATACACTGGCTCGGCTCTTCACTCGCTACCTGTCTGAATGCACGGTTCCATCCCAATGGAAAACCAGCAGGACCGTACTACTGTTCAAGAAGGGAGACATCCATGACATTGGCAATTATCGCCTGATCTGCCTATTGTCTGTCATCTACAAGTTGTTCACTCGAGTCATCCTAAATAGGATTGGCAGAACACTAGATGAAGGACAACCATGTGAGCAAGCAGGGTTCCGCAAAGGATTCAGCACCATGGACCATATCCACACGATAACCAAGCTCATTGAGGTTTCTCGGGAGTTCAAGATGCTGCTCTGCTTAACGTTCATTGATTTAAAGAAGGCCTTTGATTCTGTTGAGACGGAAGCGGTCATTGAAGCCCTAGCCAATCAGGGCATTCAAGCCCAATACATCAGGATCCTCCGTGAGCTGTATTGCGGATTCACTACCAGGATCTCACCATTCTACAAAGAAGTGATCGTTGATGTCAAGAGAGGGGTGGGGCAGGGTGATACCATTTCACCGAAACTCTTCAGTGCCACCCTTGAGAACATCATGCGACGACTGGAATGGGAAGGAATGGGAGTGAAGATAGATGGTCGGCAACTACACCACCTCCGCTTTGCTGATGACATTGTTTTAATAACACCAAACATCAGCCAAGCGGCACAAATGCTGGCCGACTTTGACCGTGAGTGTGGAAAGGTAGGACTACAGCTGAATCTTACAAAGACAATGTTTATGAGAAACAGCCTCGTTCCTGACGCCCCATTTGCTCTCAATGGAACGACCATCTCCAAATGCAACAGCTATGTGTACCTAGGTCGAGAGGTCAACATGACAAATGACCTGGCACCCGAGCTGTGCAGGAGGAAGAGAGCGGCTTGGAACGCCTTCAAGAACGTTGAAGAAATAGCTAAGAGGACGAAGAACCTCCGGCTCCGGGCACATCTCTTTGATTCCACTGTTCTTCCTGCATTAACATATGCCTCAGAGACCTGGGCCCTATGCAAACAAGATGAGAACGCTATTCAGGTCTCCCAAAGAAGAATAGAAAGAGCTATGCTTGGAATATCATGTTTCACTCAAATGAGAGAAAGAATCCGAAGTTCCGACATCCGTCGATGATCAAGAATCTGGAACGCTGTCTCGTTTGCCAAGATGTCAAAAATCAGATGGGCTGGTCACGTAATGAGATTTAAAGATGACCGCTGGACTAGAGCTGTTACCGACTGGATTCCACGGGATGTCAAAAGACCACGTGGCCGCCCACCTACCATGGTCAGATTTCTTCATCAAGATCATGAACGATTGGTTTGAGGCTCTTCATGTTCCCAGAGCGGACAGATGCCATTGGGCTACACTAGCACGTGACAGGGACAAATGGAGATGTTACTGGCGCCCGTTTGAGCAAATTGACGACTAACGGGAAGTTAAGTGATTAAGTGATTAAGTGATATTTTCAAATAGTCAAAGCAACACTGAGCAAAAAGGAGATGGAAGGCTTTACAGTCTCTGAGTTAAACTATATTAGAAAGTTATAGTAATCAAAACAATGGCCCTGGGATAAAAACAGAAAGTCAACCTCAGGCCAGTAAAATAAAATTGAGAGGCTTGAAGCAATATGTATGGATAATTAATTTATGACACAGGAGCTAAGTGGAGAAAGCAAAGTATTGCATTAAGTGGAGAAAGGAAAACATAACTCTTCAACACATAAAACTGGGAAAACTGGTTAGCCACGTGCAACGAAAAAAGTTATGATCTCATACCAAACAAAAAAGTGAATTCAAAACAGGTTAAAGACCTCAATATTAGACCCAAATCCATAACACATAGAAGAAAACATAACCTGGTTACAACAGTGTTAATGTTTTAATTTATGATATCCAAAGTCATTGCAACACCACCAAAATGTCCACAGTGCTCTTTAAATAGTTTAAAAACTATTTTCAAAAGTTATTATAGCTTAGGCCATATGTTTAAGTCCAGGTCATATTTACAATAAAGTGAACACTTAGATTTTGGTGTATACAGTTACCTCAACTCACCACCATCACAGGGACCAAGATCTTCCACCACTTGAAACTATTTTTTTAACCCTCCTGTTTGCTTTTGTTCCAATAACTGGGGGTCACGTACACTTGACTACAGTGCTCACACACACTCTGGTTATGATCCCACACACCCTTTGGTTCCAGTGCACTCTGCAGAGTGGCACAGGGGAACACAGGGACTAGAACCACTGTAGGCTGTCAACAAGGGGAGCACCTGACCTGCACTCTCTGTCTGGCCGCAGCTAGTTTATTCTGGGAAAAGGGCTGGGAGAAGTTTGGAAGGCTTTATATGGGCAAGGATATACTCATAAAAGGCCAGTTTTAAGTGATATTGAGTTATAAATATCAAGAACTGTAGCCAGCATGTTTTTTTCTAGTAGCATATACAACAGTTCCTCCAATTAATCAAATTATGATCACATGATCATAAAATCAATCATGATCACATGATCGGAAAAGTGCTATGTTTTACATTTAACAATTTAAGTTTCTCAAGGGCTACTTCCAGCAGTACTTAAGGGATAAGAAAGAAGGCAGGGATGAATTTGTGGTGCATGGAGGAATTTTAGGGTAGCAAAACTATTCTGTAAATGGAATCACAGGATGCAACAGACATGGTGGATATATGTTATCAAGCATTTGTCAAAACCCAAGTAATGAACAGATGCTAAGAGTCAACCTCAATGTCAACTGAAGGCTTAGGGCAATAATGATATATCAGCATTGGTATATGAATTGCAAATAAGTTCCACTGTGGGAAAGTTATATGCGTTTAGGTACAGCAGGTATAAGGGAGCTCTGCATTTTCTGCCCAATTTTCCAGCAAACCCCCAATAGCTGTTAAAAGTTTTAGGGGCCATAGCTATATAATACAGCAGGTAGGGCACATGCTTTGCAGGCAGTAAACCCAGGTTCAATCCCCAACATCCCATATTTCCCTTGAGACCCCCAGGAGTCACCACTGAGCACAGAGCAAGAAATAAGCTCTGAGCATTATTGACAGCTGTGGTTCAACACCCCAACCCCCCAAAAGTTGTCCTTTAAAAAGAGTCAACTCTTTACAGAGTTCTGAGAAATATAATAAAAACTGAAATTACCTTCTCTTGAAAGCAGAAGAACAGGTTTGTCAACTTGGGTATTTGGCGGTAAGGCCAGATTCCCATCCACTGTATGAATAAGTTCTTCAATCTTTTCAATCTCTTCCGCTATAGGATTTGAAATCATTTCATCCTCTGGTCTGTTTAAGAAATTTGTGAATTCTCTATTATATAGGACAAAAGACTAAAAATTTCAAATATGAGTCTAATTAGTTATGACATTTTATACATTCCCAGTTTGCAAAAATGAATTTCAGGTATATTGTGATCAAAGACACAAGTAGGGGTTTGGATTCTGCAAAGTGGCAGAGCATGTGTGCTGCATGTGGGGTGGATTCCTGGCACTGCATGTCCCTGGAGCACTGCTCAGGTGTGGCTCTGGGGGACCCTGTACAGTCACTATGAATGGCTCCCTATAAAAAACAAAAAGACAAGGCCAGAGAGGTAGTACAGCAAGTAGGGCACTTGCCTTGCATGTGGTTGACCTGGGTTCAAACCCCAGGACCCCATACGGCCCTCCAGCCCACCAGGAGTTACCCCTGAGTCAGGAGTAAGCCCTGACCACGGCCATGTGGCCCAAAAAATCAGAAAGAAAAAAAAAAGAAAAAAAAAGACACATAATATTTTAACAGATAATATAAATATCACTGAAATTAAAATTGTAAACAGTAGTATAGGGAAAGAAACTATACTAACTTTAAGTTTTGAATAATTGCAATGATAGAGTAGAAAATCTTTGCTTCGAGTTTCTAAAAATTTTTGGTTTTTCTTACTTGGGTTAGATCATTAACATCTAGAAAAGCAAACAACAGAACAACAAACAAACCTGAATGCAAAACATTCAAGTTTAACTCAATGAAAACTATTCTACCAGGGTGCATATACAATATACAATAAAGCTTGGTGAACACTAACCTTAAAGATTCCTTAGCTTTCATTTCACCAATTAACCTGTTCTCAGCATCCTTTCTTTTGCAAAAATTACCTGATGATTTATTGTCTAGAAACCTATAGAGACTAGTATTTGAATCTTCAAATTCCAATTTCTTTTCATTTTTGAATAGCGTCGTTCCTACTGGTTCAAACACTTTATTATTCATTAAAACCTGGCAAAGACGAACTCCTTTGAGACGAGAGATGTCACTGCTACTTAGACACGTATTTTGCATAAGATGACTTAATACTACATCAACAGCATTAGAACCAATAAAACAATCTTTGTATGTCCGTAAATGATGCCTCCGTCTTTTTATTTCTACTTGAGTCTGAAGGGAGTAAATAATACCACTCCATAGCTGAGTAGCTTGAAAAGGGCCAGAATGTCCTGGAAAAAAAAGAAACATGTTTCATAAATTTCAAATATTTGAAGAAACGTTAAGTTTTTCAGTTTTGACAACTTTATGCTCTGTTCTATGCTTATCTGTTGTCAACTTTCTCTAGTTTCTTCTTATTTCATCCTATATCAGCTGAAACATAGTGACTAAGATTTGCCATGTTTATGGGCCTGTAAAAACAAGAGTCAAGTTAGGTATTTGCTGGTATGTGTTACATGACAAACTATAAACTATTTTTAATATTGAAGAATAGTATTTCAGAACATCTTTTAAAAGGAATGCACACACAATTGAGTCTGTTACAAAGCTGTGGATTGACCAGGTTCTTAATCTTTTCTTCCTTCTGTCTTTTTAACTAAAGGCAAACTTCATAAAAGAGATATAGGGCTGAGTAAGATGTATGAATCAACTTATCAGTAATCTATTTCTGTTGAAAATAAAATGTTTACAAGGAATTATATAAACTAGAAAATAATTAGAATGTCAATCACCTGGGGAAATAGTTGAATAAGTTATGGCAAAACCTCACTAGAGGATATTAAACATATCTAAGAAGAATGAGGTTCATTGAGAGGAAGAATTTCATTAAATAAAATGAAAACAAAACAAAAGAAAAAGAAAAAAATCAGCAAGCCAAGCAGAACAAATAGCATACTATCATCCTGAGTAGAAATTACCAGTCTATGCACAAATATACATAAATAAATACAATGAAAGGTTTAAAAGAATAAACTTGAAACTACTAAGCTTTGGGAAGTAAGATTGCAATTGTGATTGATGCAAGAGAATGTTCACTTTTTCCTCAGATTTATAATATGTATATAAATATTTTTCAATTAGCTGCAATAATAAACTTTTTAATTAAAACTTTACTCAGTTCCTTCAGAATTCATCCTTTCAAAGTGTGCAATTAAGGGGCAGAGAGATAGTATAGAAGCTTAGGTGCTCGACCTGCACACAGTCAACTGAAGTTTGATCCCTCGGAATGCATATGGTTCCCTGAGCACGATAAGGAGTGATTTCTGAGCACAGAGCCTGAGTGTGGCCCCCAAACCCCAAGTAAAGTGGATAATTAGGAGGGTTTTTAGTATAGTCATGAAGTTTTGCATCCACTACTTTCTAATTCCAGACCATTTCATTCCCTCAGAAAGAAACCGTCTGGTTAGCAGTAACTATGTATTTCCCACTACTCCTAATACTTCTCTCTGTGTGTGGTGCCGGTTATGCAACCAGGCATTCCGTTTTGAGGACGGTGCCTTCCCACTCAGCTTCATTCCCAGCGCCTTCACTACATTTTCTGTTTGTTTTGTTTTTTGGCTCACACCCAGAGCTGCTCAGGCCTTATTCCTGGTGGGCTGCGGGACCCTGCTGGGGGCCAGGGATCCAACCAGGGTTGGCCATTTGCAGGGCGAGCACTCTACCTGCTGTACTATTGATGCAGCCCTTGAAAATGTTTCGTCTTGCACAAGGCCAACCCAGTTTCAATCTCAGCTGCCCATTGGGTCCCCCAGCCCTGCCAGGAGTGATTCCTGAGTGCAGACCAGGAATAAGCCCTGAGCACTGCTGGTGTGGTCACCTCCCTCTTCCTCCCAACCAAAACCAAACCATTTCAGACAGTTAGAGCCATAGTTCTACAGGCAGAGCACATAAGTTTAAGCAGAGTTCAGTGATACATGTTCAGTAGAGTAACACCTTGAATGATCCCCAGCACCACAGCACCCCTGAGAATTAAAAAATATTTTTTAAAGAAATTATAAGGGAATAAATGGTAATACTTAGAATATTGTTCCAAGATTTTGGGGGGTTAGAATTAAATTTCTATTTATTTATTTGGGTCACACCCAGCAATGCACAGGGGTTATGCCTGGTTCTGCACTCAGGAATTACTCCTGGCAGTGTTCAGGGGACCATATAGGATGCTGGGAATAGAACCCGGGTCAGCTGCCTGCAAGGCAAATGCCCTACCCACTGTCCTATGGCTCCAGCCCCTAAATTTTTATTTCTAATAAAAACGTAGAATCTAAACTTTATCTTTGTTTTGGCGCCATACCTGGCTGTGCTCAGACCTTTTCCTGGCTCTGGGCTCAGGGATCACTCCTGGCAGTGATCAGGGAACCATATAGAGTACTGGAGATCTACCTGGGTCTACCTCATGTAAGGCAAGTGCCTGGCCCCTAGAATCTAATTAAAAACCATATTTTTGAGAGGGGAAGAAGGTGCAAGGGGTTGCATTTAAAACTGTATAAGTGTATTTTACCACCAAGCTACATTTCCTGCAGATTTAAAGTTACAGGATTTGAATTTCTCCCCTGTGACAGTGACTGGAGAAAGGATGTCCCATTTCACATGATCATCACTGTCACTGTCCTCCCATTGTTCATCCATTGCTTGAGCGGGACCCAGTAACATCACCATTGTGAGACTTGTTACTGTGTTTTAGCATATCGAATACTTCACGGATAGCTTCCCAGGCTCTCAGAGAGGGGTGGAGGAATCCCACCCCAGTTGGCTGGGTCAGCCATGTGCAAGGCAAATGCCCTACCTCTGTGCTATTGCTGGCAAGGTCAACCTAAAGTCAACCTGCAGCAAACTATAATCCAAACTCCTGGACGATAATCATAATGTGAAAAATGAGAAACAAATACCCGTCATCTTCAAATGCCTTTTGTAGTTAATTTGCCCTTAGAATATTATCCAGAGACACTGCAAAGCCTTGTGAGTGTGTGTGTGTGTGTGTGTGTGTGTGTGTGTGTGTGTGTGTTGGTGGGGAAAGTGTAGAAAGGGGGTGGTTCAGTGGGCAGTAGTGATCGGAGTGGAGGTGACTATGGCTAGGGGACTGATGAGTGACGGCAAAGGTATATCACGTACCCATCCCGCTGGACTCTCTAACCTTCATGAAATCAAAACACTAAATAGGAGCTGGCTAGATTAGCCCACCGGGAAGTGCAAGCGTTTGCCTTGCATGCGTCCCACAGGGTTTGATCCCCAGCACCGCACTATGTCCCCCTAGCTAGCCAGTAGTGACCCTTGAGCTCAGAGCCAGGAGTACACCCTGAGCATAACCGGGGTGGCCCAAAAAAGAAAAAAAAATCACATATACCCTCCAGGAAAAAAGAAAATCCCGCTACACAAATTACATAGATAGTCCAGGTCGATAAAGAAATTGACCCCAAGTCCTTTAACCCCGTTTATGCATGCCAACTGGGAACTTAGGATGCCTGCAGAATCCCAGCCCCGGCTCCGGAACCCGAATCCGAACCGGCCCCTTCGCAAGGTGCGCCCGGGATTCGGATGCATCCTCCACTTGGAGGCTGGGTGGTGCTAGACCCCTCGGGGGCCGCGCCAGGTGGGGTCAGCGGGGAAGGGAAGGGCCCGGGTAAGGGCTCGCCTGTAGCACACACTCACTCAGTCTAAGATCTAGCAGGGCGGTTACCTGGCTTTCTCTTCCGGCAGAAGCCCCAGCTCGGGCTCGCCGTACGCCCCCTGCCGCGCCCGCCGAGCTCGCTAGGGCTGCCCGGAGCCCGGAAGCGCCGAGTCAAAAGAACCGCCATGGACCACCCCGCGCGCTGGCTCCGCCCCCGCCTCCCGGGACCCCGCCCCTTCCGAGCCCGCCGGAAGTGACGTCAGGCCCGGGGCGGCCGGGCGCTCGGTCTTTCCTCTCCCGGACTCTTCCTCCCCGGCCCCTCCCCTCCCCTCCCCCTTCCCTCCGGCTCCAGCCTCGGAGGCCGAGCGCTTGCAGGGGGCTCATGGACTAAAGGCGGCGGGAGAGCCCCGGGCGCTGAGGCTGAGCCGATTGGACGTGTGTGTGTGTGTGTGTGTGTGTGTGTGTGTGTGTGTGTGGTGCGTTGGGGGGGGCGGGGTAAACGCACGTCTGCACCGCCCCTCCCGGGAGGAGCAAGTAGGGGGAAGAAGAGGTGAGTGTGGGGCGCCGGGGCTCCGAGCGACGTCGGTCCTTCCCCGGTTCCTCCCGCGGCCGCGATCGGGGCTGGGGAACCCACCCCCACCCCCTCCTCCCGCGCCGCCACCCGCCGAGGGGATGCGGGGAGCGGACCCGCGCGCCGACCGGGCCTCCCCGGGCCGCGGGGCGCTGGCGGCTGTTGCCTGGTGACGGGGGCTGCGGGCCCGCCCGGCTGGGCAGTGGGCACCGCCGTCGGGCCCGCGCGTCTCGGGGAAGCGGCCCCCACCACCACTCCCACCACCCCCCGGGAGTCGTCGGAAGTGGCCTTGGATAAAAAAGGCCGAGGGAGCGACTGGGCCCACGGGAGGGAGGGAGGGGGGGAGGGTCCGCCCGCTCGGACTGGGCAGCTCGGGTGTCTCCGGGCTGGACATCGGGGTTCCCTTTGGGGGAAAGTGGACACCGCTCCCCGAAGTTGCGAGCCCCGACGGCTCGGCTTGACAGCTCGGCCCCGTCGCCCGCCCGAAGGTTATTGTGCGCCGGCTGGGTGGGCGGCGGGGTGGGGTGGGGCAGGGGTTCTAGTGGAGCCCCAGCACCCCCTCGGGGGTGGCTTCTGCTCTGCTCTCTCGCGGTTCCCAAGCGGCCGAGACAGGGCGGAGGAAGGTGTGGACCGAGGAGCTTGCAAAAACTTCCTGGGATCCGGCTGAAGATAGACTCGGCCGTGATCGCTGATCCGGGAAATCCACGTTGTCAAGTCAGACCCGGGCACAAACGGTTTTTTAAAAGACGCTTACGTCTGTAGTGGCTTCAAATCGTAGACAGAAACGAGTTGCCTTTTTTTTTTTCCCCATTTTGTAGATCAGATTCGGGTATTATCTGTATTCTGACTTGAAGGGATTCTGTGAGGAGTTTTCTAAGTGGTTTGACTTGGTTCTGGAAAATGTAGGAGAGGGAAGAACTGAAATGCTGAAAGTGTCCAGGCCCTGCTAAAAGCGTGTCACGTTTAAGGGAATGGCATGAAAGGCAGGTGCTTGATGTCCAGGTTTTGAACTTTGTAAGCTTTTTTTTTTGGGGGGGGGGAGAAAAAGTCTCGTTCTTTAAATATTTTAAAAAATTATAAAATGATCAGCTGAGTATCAGAATTCTCGAAACCATGTTACACTTGTCATTGTAAAACACGCTTTGGGGGAAATTGACTAAAAGAAAGGAACCTATGGGAAGGGCTTTCAGTCTGTCAGATACACTTCACTCAAGAATCCTGTTCTTCAGGATCCTATTTATCTTTCTTCTTCAGAATCTCCTTGTTCTCTTATTCTCTATCCTATTCTTCACAATCCTGTCCTTTATCTCTAGGTTTCCTAAATACAGGCTCATTGTACTTCCATTCAATGAAATATTTCTGTACAGATCTGCTCTGTCATTGCAAATACCTATATATCCTTTTCTGTTTGAAACTCCTGTTTTACCACCATGAAGAAATAGGTCTTTTGTTTGATTGACGTCAACTACTAGCATCATTGTTTGTTCCTTTCTTCTTTTTTTTTTTTTAATTTTTATTAGTGAAACACCCTGAGGTACAGTTGTAGACTTACAAATTTTTGTGCTTGGGTTTCAGTTATACAGTGATCGAGTACCCATCCCTCCGCCAATGCCCATTATGTTTGTTCCTTTCTACAGTTTGATAACTTGCTCTCTCCATGGATGTTCTGGTCGTTTTGCCTCTTGATTATCATGTCTGTCAGCTCTTCATTTTCTACTTCCAGCCATCATCACTGGGACTACTTCCCTCACCTAATTATGGACTACTGCTTTTACAGTGACAACCTCCATAGTTTTTCTAGCCCCATCTGACTCTTTGAAAGTGGCTTTCATTGTCTTTAAAATCCTCAATAGCCTATTGGCTCCCCTGATTGACTTTTCAACTCTCTTTCCACAGTGCTTTCTGGCTTTCTTTTCTTCTAGTCACTCCATGATTTCTCTTCTGTTTCAGGCATATAGCCTTTAGTTGCAGTGCTTCCTTGAAGTTCAGTTGTTCTTCATCTGCTGAGAGTGACTACTTAATAAATGTTAAATGATTAAACTCATTGAATGCCTTCTAAATGTGACTGGAATTGTACTGAGTATTTTACATGCATTGTCATCTTTATTTCTCACAGTCACTTAATGTATGGGTGGCATTTCCTCATTTTAAAATATAAAGAGTGCTTGGTAAGTACTCAGTGGTCACTGTGCTAATAATTAGAATTGACATTTCAACCAGGTTTCTTGGCTACTAAAAGTTATGAATTTAATCATACAAACTAATTCCTATACTTTGCATCAGAATCACTTTGGGATCTTACTTAAAATGCAAATGTTCACTGCCTCTTTCCCCATTCTTTTATAGATTCTGATTCTAAAGGTTAGAGATAAAACATAGGCATCTATGTGGCTTAACAAATTATCCAGTCATGTCGAGAATGTTACTTTATGTTCAGAGATTGAAGCTTTTGTCCTAGACACAGTTCAGTACTTTGAGTTTCATTTTTCATACACTGTACTAAACTATCTCAGATTTTGTTTTTATTTATTTATTTACTTTGCTTTTTTGGGTTACACCCAGCAATGCACAGGAGTCACTCCTGGCTCTGCACTCAGGAGTCACTCCTGGCGGTGCTCAGGGGACCATATGGGATGCTGGGAATCGAACCCGGGTCGGCCGTGTGCAAGGCAAATGCCCTACCCACTGTGCTATTGCTCCAGCCCCGATTTTGTTTGTTTTTAAATTAAGGAAGAATTATAGACTGAAGGAAATATCCTCAGTGATAATTTGCTCTAATTTTCTATGCAGTTATTCCTTTCTCCAGCTAGAAAAACTGAATGGTTAAATATTATCATCACTCTACAACTTAAGACAAAAAACTACTATAGTTCAAGAACCTGATTTTCTGTAGTAAAAATTACTCTAAACATATGAGCTGGTATTGATGTATTCTCTCCTAAGATCTTCCTTATTGTTCAGATTACTAATTTGACATTTACACATATGTTGCCTTATTATCCATCTTGTTGCTTTTTAATCTTTTTAAATACTCTACAGTGTCTTCAATCTGTAAACAGTGATAGGAACATAATGTTCTATTTCTTCTTTTTCCTATTGCGCCTCCCATGGTGCTTTCCACCTAGTAAATACCTAGTAAATACCTAGTTGAATGGATGCTGCATTGTGCATTGCTAAATTTCTTCACTTTTCTTTGTCTCCTAAATAAGATTTGCCTTCTGTAAGTCATCTGTTACAGCTCAAATGATCATAAGATAGATACTGTCTGTCTTGTAAAGAGAACAATTATGGTACTAGATTTATTATGAATAAGCTTAAGCGTAAGCTTTTTATGTGGGTTAAAGAATGCAGTTAACCACTTTAAAAATTTTCTGGTAATCCCTATATAAGTAAAGTAAAGGCCCTCCCGTTGATCATCGATTTGCTCGAGCGGGCCCAGTAACGTCTCCATTGGAGACTTTGTTGTTACTGTGTCTGGCATATCAAATACTCTCGGTAGCTTGCCGGGCTCTCCGAGAGGGGCGGAGGAATCGAACTCGGGTCAGCCATGTTTGCGGCGTGCAAGGCAGACGCCCTACCCACTGTGCTATCACTCCAGGGCCCATAGAAACTAACATGTGGGCTGGAGAGATAGTACAGTAGGTAGGGCACTTGCTTTCCCTATGGCCAACCCAGTTTTACCGCCGGCACCTTATATGGTCCCCTGAGCCCGCCAGGAGAGATCCTTGAGCCCAGAAGAGATCGTTGAGTACAGAGATAGGAGTAAACCTTGAGCACAGCCAGGTGTGGCCCTAAAACAAAACAAAGAAATAACATACTTCAAGAATATATCAGGATCATCTTTATATGCAAGTGGTACACACTGCATATATAAATGTAGGTTCAATTTATTTCCCTAAATCTTTTTTATTTTCTATTTTTGTTTTCGAGCCACACCTAGTCGTGCTAATGGATAACTTCTGGTCTGGTGCACTCCTAACAGTGCTTGAGACCATAGCAAAATGTAAAACATGTTTTATACTTACGTTTATATTTATATTTCTAAGTATCTCCTTGTAATCTCCTTGGCCCCTACCCACAAGTCTTATGAAATATTTTACCAAAAGCGTTTGTCACTTTAATACAATCTTTATTTTAATTTGCAAAAATTAATGGTATATTTGAATATACAAATGACCATATAAATGATACTTACTTGTTGTTTGGTTTTGGAGCCACACCAACAGTGCTCAGTGTTTATTCCTGGCTCTGCACTCGGGATCACTCCTGGAAGACTTGGCTGTGTGGGGTGCCAGGGATTGAACCCAGGTTGGTTTCATGTAAGGCGAGCATCTTACCTGCTGTAATGTCGCTCCAGCCTCAGATATTTCTAAATTTTCAGACATTTAAGTAGAAAGTCACTGAACAAAGTATTTTGAGTTCACTCATAATTATTTTGTGTATTCCTCTTTGTAGTCAATGTGAATTGTGTTTGTTGAATGTCTTAATGCCTTGATCCTAACAACTAAAAATTTTATTGTCAAACTGCTGTAACCTTTCAATTTACATTAGCACTGTAGCATCACTGTCTTCCCGTTGTTCATTGACTTGCTTGAGCGGGCACCAGTAACATCTCACAACAAATTGTGAGACTTCTTGTTACTGTTTTGGCATATTGAATACGTCACGGGTAGCTTGCCAGGCTTTGTTGTGAGGGCCAGATACTCTCCGTAGCTTGCTGGGCTCTCGGAGAGGGGTGGAGGAATCGAACCCGGGTCGACCAAGTGCCAGGCATACGCCCTACCTGCTGCGCTATCATTCCAGCCCACAATTTACATTATTAAAAAAAAAAGGCTAACTACTTTTTTAAAATTTTGGGTTGGGGGAGCTCCCAAGCTGTGATCTCAGTGATGGTCAGGAGACAGATAGTGTTGGGTAGCAAACTGGATTCAGCAGCATGCAAAACATGTGCCCTAACCCCTGTAGTATCAATCTGGCCC